AGAGCTATCCAACACCAAAGCCCAACCCCTGACAATGCTATGCCAGTTTCTCTGTCAATCCTACACAGTGGACTGCAAACATCCTGAGGGCGGGAAATACATTTTGTTATTTAAAAGCTGACCAACACGGCTGCACACTGCACACATTCAAATATTTGCTGATTTGAAATACAGGAGGATGGATGGCCTTCAGGTAGACCACACTCATGGCCTTCAGGTAGACCACACTCATTCATAATGTGAGATAACCCTAGAAGATTAAAGCATTTACGTGGCAAAATGAGGGTAGCAAATAGTTTTAAGTTCATTCAAATGAACACTGGGCTATGTAAGGAATTTAAGGGTCCAACTGCTGCCAAGCAGTGCCTCTTAAGCAATCCAGGAGTACTTAATCATGAAGTGGTATGTTAATTGCTGCTCTTAAACACCTATTACCATAGATCCCCTAAATCCCTCTATCGGCAATAATGTCTTAAATTTGTGTCACAGATCATATTTCATAAACCTCTTTTAGAAATACCATCTGTTGGTCAAGCGCAATTTATTATGTATATACTTTAAGTAATGTTTTTAAATTGTCCCTATATCTTCTAGGTTAGATGACTTTCCATTATCCCAAACTAATGAAATTTTACTGTACCAAAGAATATTGTAAATACTTCTCAAAATGGTATTTATGAACTTTATTCACCACAGCAATCAAGAGAGGCTACCACAAGGGAAAGGTTTTTGTCCCCTGAGTGTTGGCTGAGACTTAACCCAGCATGCAGACTCTGTGGTGTTTAACACTTATTAACAGCTTGTCTGGGTTTGCTGCTGGTGAATCTCTAGCAAGCAGACAAGCACAAATTAGCAGCTCCTGCATGCATCTCTCCTCCTCTGGGCTAATTATGAAGGCAACAATGGGATATTTATAAGCATTTCTGAGTATGTGTGTCTCAGTGGGCAGAATGCAGTTTCCCTTTTTTTTTTTTTCCTGGAGACGGAGCCTCTGTTTGCCACCCAGGCTGGAGTCAAGTGGTGCAATCTCAGCTCACTGCAACCTCCACCTCCTGGGTTCAAGCGATTCTCCTGCCTCAGCTTCCCTAGTAGCTGAGAGTACAGGCACCCAACACCATGCCTGACTAATTTTTGTATTTTTAGTAGAGATGGGCTTTTGCCATGTTGGCCAGGCTGGTCTCGAACTCCTGGCCTCAAGTGATCTCGAACTCCTGGCCTCAGCCTCCCAAAGTGCTGGGATTACAGGTGTGAGCCACTATGCTTGGTCCAGAAATGCAGTACCTTACACAGCACAGGAAAATTAATGTACACAGGGAAAAAAAACACAAAAGTAAAATCCGTAAGAAAATCTATAAGGTATATAATCCGGGGGTAAGGCTAACCTCTAACCTCAGCACAACCTTCTGTAATGCTCACAGAACCTCATCTCTCCTTTCTCATTTGTCTCTGAAATCTTCCCACTTTGCAGACTGAAATGAGTCTTGCTACCAACCTGTGACAAGGTCAGCTCTGGACTGTATCAGAGATAATTCTGAAAGCCCTTCCTGTTCCCTGGAGTCCAGCCTCTCCACCCCAGGCGGACACCAGAAATCTCCTGCCAGCGTAACACTTTCATGAAGTCTCCAGGACTCTATCTTGTCTGGGGAGAAGCCCACCAGAGGACGACTCTGAAGACCTGAGGCTGAGGCACCATCCTGCCTCCTACAAGGTAGGAGGCTAACGATTCTGAGTCTCCTTTCCCTTATCTGTAAAACAGAATTGCACAGTGCAGAGCCCCAAACTTTATTTTTTATTTATTTGCTTTGTGAGATAAGAGTTTCACTCTTGTCACCCAGGCTAGAGTGCAATGGCACGATATTGGCTCACTACAACCTCTGCCTCCTGGGTTTAAGCGATTCTCCTATCTCAGCCTTCCAAGTAGCTGGGATTACAAGCATGTACCACCACAACTGGCTAATTTTTGTATTTTTAGTAGAGACAGGGTTTCTCCATTTTGGTCAGGCTGGTCTCCCAATCTCAAGCGATCCACCTGCCTCGGCCTCCCAAAATGCTGGGATTATAGGCGTGAGCCATTGTACCCGGCCTAGCCCCAAACTTTTAACTATATTAGGACATGCGCAATAATTCTAAAACTCAAAATACCACCACTAAGAACTTTTTAAAACTCATTATTTAAAGAAGAAAATGTCCCTTACAAATAACTTACTGGATCACCTAGTAGTTAGTGCATGCCTGGTACCTGGTTACATGCTGGGCAATACCAAAAGGAGTAAGGCTAAGTCTCCCTGCCTGAGAGCCCTGCCCCCTTCCATCCAGTGAGAGGAGACACTCATAAACAAATGATTACAATAAAATGTGAGGCACACTGGGAGCTTTCAACCACAGAGTTCAGGGCAGGGTGGGGGAAGCTGAAGGAATCACAGAAGGCTTCTCAGAGGAAACCAGAGAAGCCAACCCTGGCAGAATGACAGGTCACTGTGCCCATCACAAGAGACAGCAGGCCCAGCATGTGCAATGTGCAACAGACACAGGAATGGGAGACCTTCTAGACACTGGCTTAGGCAAGGATTTTGTGACCAAGAGCCCAAAAGCGAATGCAATAAAAACAAAGATAAAAGGTGGGACTTAATTAAACTAAAGAGCTTTTGCATGCCAAAAAGAACAGTCACCTGAGTAAACAGACAACCCACAGAGTGGGAGAAAATCTTCACAATCTATACATCTGATATAGGACTAATATCCAGAATCTATAACGAACTCAATTAGCAAGAAGAAAATAAACAATCCCATCAAAAAGTGGGCTAAGAACATGAATGGACAATTCTCAAAAAGAAGATATACCAATGGCCAACAAACATGAAAAAATGCTCAACATCACTAATGACCGGGGAAATGCAAATCAAAACCACAATGCAGCTGGGCACACTAGCTCACACCTATAATCCCAGCACTTTGGGAGGCCAAGGCGGGTGGATCACAAGGTCAGGAGTTCAAGAACAGCCTGACCAACATGGTGAAACCCCATCTCTACTAAAAATACAAAAATTAGCTGGGCGTGGTGGCACGCACCTGTAATCCCAGCTACTCAGGAGCTGAGGCAGGAGAATCACTTGAACTCAGGAAGCAGAGGCTGCAGTGAGCCAAAATTATACCACTGCACTCCAGCCTGGGCAACAGAGTAAGACTCCATCTCAACAAAACAAAACAAAACAAAACAAAAGAAAACAAAAGAAAACAAAAGAAAACAAAAGCCAGAAGGAGGTACCTTATTCCTGCAATGATGGCCATAATCAAAAACTCAAAAAATAATCAAATTTGGTGAAGTTAGTGAGGATGTGGTGAACAGGGAATACTTCTACCCTGCTGGTGGGAATGTAAACTAGTACAACCAATATGGAAAACAGTGTGGAGATTCCTTAAAGAACTAAAAGTAGAACTACCATTTGATCCAGCAATCACACTACTGGGTATCTACACACAGGAAGAGAAGTCATTATATAAAAAAGATACTTGCACACGCATGTTTATAGCAGCACAATTCACAATTGCAAAAACGTGGAACCAGCCCAAATGCCCATCCGTCAACGAGTTGATAAAGAAACTGTTGACTGATAGAATACTACTCAGCCATAAAAAGGAATGAATTAATGGCATTTGCAGCAACCTAGATGGAATTGGAGACTATTATTCTAAATGAAGCAACTCAAGAATGGAAAACCAAACATCATATGTTTTTACTTTTAAGTGGGAGCTAGGCTATGAAGATGCAAAGGCATAAGAATGATACAGTGGACTTAGGGGACTCAAGGGGGAAAGGTTGGAAGGGGGTGAGGAATAAATAACTACAACTTGGCTTCAGTGGATACGGCTCAGGTAATGGGTGCACCAAAATATCAGAAATCACCACTGAAGAACTTGCTCATGTAACCAAATACCACCTGTTCCCCAAAAATCTACAGAAATAAAAAATTGAATGAATGAATGAATGAATGAATGAATGGGAGATGTTCAGGAAGGGTGGAAGGGGCAGAGCCAAGAGGGAGTAGAGGGAGTCTGTGTCAGACAGGCAAAGAGGAGGCAGGCACCAGCACCTGTATGATTTCATCTTGCCTTTCAGATTCTGCAGTACCCAGAACACATCCCCCGTCAGAGATGAGGGTGATAATCCAGGATATCAGGTGTCAGGCAACTATCCCAGTGATGCCTTGCCACACAGTTACTGGGCTCCTTGCATCTTGAAGTTAAACAGAGACAAGGCAACAAGATACATGGTAAAAATCAACCAAAATGGTGTAAAATTTTTTTAATACTACATTTGTAGGGCTATGATCAAAATACATCTGTTATGCGGCATAAATATCACAAATTTGAAGATGGACAGTTCTGGACTTTGAGGAGCTTATAAGTTAAAAAGGAAAAAGAGGCAAAGGTATCAGTTAATACTGGGTGAGATAACAGGTCAAAACGTGAACCCAGCATGCTCCACAGATCTAACAGAGACTCAGGGGAAGTCCAGGAAGGGTAAGGACAGGGAGCTTTCTTGAGGAAAGGATGTTAAAATCTGAAGATGGAAAAGAAAGGAAAGAAAAAGGGAGATAGGGAGCCTGATACTGCAAGAGCCAGCAGCAGGCAGAGTTCCTGAGTGGCTCAACTGGCTGAGCCCAGGGAGTCGGAAAGGGAAGGAGAGGAGGCCAGGGTGGGGATCTGAAGACCAGGGACAGCAGCAGGTCATCAGGAAGAGTGACAAAGGATAGTGCACCTTTTGGAAAAAAAAAAAAAAGAGAGAGAGAGAGAGACAGACAGACATACTTTTCATCTAAATGCCTTCCTCCACCCCTCCACCCCATACAACGCACTTGGCTCATTAGTGCTTGGAAATGCTGGCAATTCTGACTGGAAGGTCAGCCTCCTGTATTGGCTTTCTGCTCAGTAATGTAGGAGAAGGGCAGGGAATTTAGCCACAGGAGTCTCTAAAGGACTTTAGCATAAAGTAAACTCACCTGTAAAACGGCCCCAAGGCAGAGACCCTAAAGAAGGCATCTTAATTATTCGGCATAGGGCCCTCAGTTCCTCTGGTGAAGGCACTAGCTGTTAAGGAAGGAGCTTGAGGAAATGAAGACACACCCGCTGAAGAGAGGCCGCAGTGGGGTGTGTTACATTCCTTTGAAAACAGGCCCTTTGCTATAATTTGTGTAATCAGACCAGAGATTGGACTGTAGAACCCTGCTTCCCATTTATTACAATATCACGCTTCTGCCCAGGAAACCCCACCCAAGCTTTTGTTTGGAATTCCTTTCCTTGATTAGGTGCAAGTCCTATTATTCCCGCCACTCAAAAATAACACATGGGTCTAATGAAGTTGTAAAGCAGTTGTAAAGTCAGAAACCTGGCTTCTCTGAATGGCGCTAGTTCTCTTTTTTCCGTCTTGTTTTGGAATAGTGATTTCTTTTCCTTCTGTATAGAGGAAGAATGGGAAGCAGCAACATTCTGTACAAATGGAAAGGCAAATCATTTTAACTCTCTGGAAAGAGCCATGCAAGTGGGCACCACTCACCAGGCTGTGCCTGTAGCAACCCTCGTTGCCTTCTGGTTCTGGCTGCCTCAGTTGCAGTTCTGCAGACTAAATGAGTGGGAAGGGGTGACACAGTGTCCTCAAGTCCCATCACCTGCAGAGCTGCCCTCCCCTCTGGAAGCCTTCATTCTGCAATTCAGGCAGAGTCCAACACCCCAAAGAAGGGCTGAGGAGCAGGGCAGGGGCATCATCCAGACAGCTGACAGTATGTACTCTATATACATCCTCCAGTATGTACCTAGAATGTCTGGTAATTCTTAACCAAAGACAGGAGGCACAGAAAATTTTCACCTCAAAACATGGAGTATGGCCAGGCGTGGTGGCTCACACCTGTAATCCCAGCACTTTGGGAGGTCGAGGCAGGTGGATCACTTGAGGTGAGGAGTTCAAGACCAGCCTAGCCAACATGGTAAAACTCCACCTCTACTAAAAATATAAAAATTAGCTGTACGTGTTGGCAGGCACTTGTAATCCCACCTAACTTGGGAGGCTCAGGCAGGAGAATCTCTTGAACCCAAGAGGCAGAGGTTGCAGTGTGCCGAGATAGTACCACTGCACTCCAGACTGGGTGGCAAAAGCATGAATCTATCTCAATAAAGCAAAAAACAAAGAAAAAAAATGGAGTATTAGAATTGGAAAATAGGGTGAATCATTTTCTCTAGCAAATACTTAAACAATTTAAGAGATGTGTTTTGTGGTCTGCCCAGCCCAAAGGAGCTCCCTTTGGTCCCCAGGGATCTGCCCTACCTTCCCACTCCCCCAAAACCATCTGGGCAGGAGTAGAGCCCTGACGCTACAGCAGCTACTCTATTCCTAAGCCAGGGTCTAATACTGGTGTGGTCTCACTCAAATAGGCCAACGCTGGCCAGTTGAATTCATCCTAGTAACTGAGCCATTCTATTTGGTGGAACTCTAGCTGGGTGGCTAGATTAGGAAGGCACGAAGACTGGGACAGCCACAGAGGGCTACGGAAACTGGGAGGTAATCACCACCTTGCAAGTTCATCTGCATAATGAGAAGATAAAGCACACCCACCCTCACCCCCAAAAGAGGGACTAAGGTGTGGGAGCCCAGAAGAGCACCTTCAGTGCTTCAGAGTCCCCCGTTCTGGTGATCCCCAAGGCCCCTGGTTTCCAAAAGCATATAGGAAACTTCCTTATCAAACTGGTATGAATGGGTTTCCACTGCCACCAAAGAGCCTTGCCTAAAATAAGCACTCAGTATATGTCAGATGCCATAGCAACAGTGCTACCTCAGAGCTGGTGTGGAAGACAAAATCCTCTATTAGATAGTTGCATAATATGGTGGCACGGGCACAAGAAAGTGCTAGTGATATAATGCACATGGTCTGGCTAAAGAATAAAGAGCACAGCTCACTGTGAGCCAAACAGAGCTGCTTAGAAGAGACAGTTCTCCAATTCGGCCATGAAGAGTAGGACCCCAGTTCCTCTAGGCTCAGTACACATCCACTGGCCTCAGTTACTTAGATTGTAGCCCACGCAGAACTGGGAGAGGTTTTCTTGGCAAGCTCCCACCTCAATTTTCAGTGATCCTAGTAAAATGCAGCAATCCCCAAGAAGAGGCTATTTAGAGCTCTCTAACAACTCGCCTGCACACCGAGAGTCAAGAGCAAAGTCAGGCTGCTGGAGGACTCCTCCCTCTTAATTTCCCCTCTCCTGCCACAGTGACATCACTAGTGAAGGGCAAGGGGATGTTCATTCACTAGGGTTTGAAGAGAATCAGGAATGTGGGAGACCAGAATAGGCCACCCCAAAATATGAAGGATTATTGAGCTGAGGACAATTAAGAAGCAAATGCAGGAACGCTCTCCGCTCTCCCTGTATCTGCCAAAAAGCAGGACATGTGTTTGCAAAGAAGAAAGGTATCCTGCCCTCTCTTTTACCAGGGAGAACAAAGTTTAACCACTGTGAACAGCTTCAGAGGCTTCTCACTTCTCTGCCTGGAGATGGTACCAGAGGAAGCTATGTCAACGAACTTTGCTAACGAGCTGTTATCTGCCAGTTATTTACCTTCCCCCAAGCTGCTACCCATACACACTCAAAGTCCTTTTCCTCAGCATTGTCACTTCTCTAGAAACCTACAGTTCTTTGTTGAAGGGCTATACAAGCTGGAATTAAAACCCACCTCTTTGAGAACTACTCATTCCCTAGGTGTCTTCCTGTTACACGAAATACACATGTCAATAATTCTGCTTTTCTCTTGTTAAATCTGTCTTCTGTTACCGGGGTCTGTTCCAACTAAGAATCTATGAAGGTTGAAGAAGAAAATGATCTTTCTTCTACAGGAACTACATCCTGAACATATGTGGTAGGTTCTCAGGGGTAATGGTGGGAGCAGGAATGGAAAACAAAATAAACAAGATAAAAGCAGGTCCTTAAGCAGCTCACCATTTAACAGAAGAAATAAGACATGCACACAACTGACCCAAGCACATGCCTGCACATTCAAAATGCTGTAACATCTACATCAGATGGATGACAAAGTCATTTCTAAATCCTTCATGCTAGAAAATTTTTCTTGAGAAATGCAATTGAGTTGGTATACAAAATGTCAAGTTATGTAGACAAGATCAATATCACCCATACAAACATGATTTAAATCAGTAAAATGAATTACAATAATAGCTTTAAAAATTTTTTAGCAGTAAAGTCTTTTCTTCAAATATGATTCCACTCAGAAGTCCAATAACCAACAGAGATACATAAAAGCAGAGTTGCTTTGGCTGAAATAGGCGTTGAGATCAGGAGCTACACAACCCTGCAGTCCACTGAGGTGCCTCTGCAGAACACAAGGCTCCAGGAATCACTGGGGCAAAACCTATCATTTAAAGGTAGTGGGGCGCTGGGCACTGCTGGTTCATGCCTGTAACCCCAGCACTTTGGGAGACAAAGGCGGGTGGATCATGAGGTCAGGAGTTCAAGATCAGCCTGGCCAACATGGTGAAACCCCGTCTCTATTAAAAATTCAAAAATTAGCCAGGCATGGTGGTACGCAGCTATAATCCCAGCTACTCAGGAGTCTGAGGCAGAGAATTGCTTGAACCCACGAGGCAGATGTTGCAGTGAGCCAAGATTATGCCACTGCACTCCAGCCTGGGTGACAGGGCAAGACTCTGTCTCAAAAAACAAAGAAAAAAAAAAGGTACTAGGGATTATGGCTTTCAGCCACCACATAATAATTTCAAATTTACCTAATAAAAGTGTTCCGGTCAAGGTGGGCGGATCACCTGAGGTCGGGAGTTCGAGACCAGGCTGGCCAAAATGGTGACACCGTGTCTCTACTAAAAATACAAAAATTAGCCAGGTTTGGTGGCACATGCCTGTAATCCCAGCTACTCGGGAGGCTAAGGCAGGAGGATGCCTTGAACCTGGGAGGTGGAGGTTGCGGTGAGCTGAGATCATGCCACTGCATTCCAGCCTGGGCAACAAGAGCAAAGCTCCAACCCCAAAAAAAAAAAAAAAAAAAAAGGTGTTCCCAGGTAGTAGAAGCCACTAGCAAGAAAGAATAGTATGACAAAGTTTGAGGTTATATTCTAAGCCTTTGGCTTTAACTCTGCCAACCCACTCTTCAGTAACACAGATAAGGACCCCTGCCATGTAAAAGTCCCAGAATCCTACACTATCACATCATACATCTTGTGTGTCATTCTCTATATCTGGTATGCGACATCTCTAAATTCACTGTTTCCATGCAGCCTCCAAAGTCCCACTGGATCTGACAAGTAGTCAAGATTTTCTGAATTTCAACCCTACCAATTGGCTCCCAGGGCCCACTTAAGTGGCTCCATCTACTTCTTGAGAACATGACTTCCACACCCCAAGACTCCGCCCCAGCCTGGGTCACCGCCACTGGTGAGATCCCCTGATCCCACTCACACTCTCCTTCAAGAACAGTAAGACAACCTTGCTCAAAGTGTGTGTCTAGGGTTTCTCGGAAGTTCTGTGTGGTGCAGTGAGTCTTCGGGTGTTTTAACATGCTCCTATATCCTATTCATTAGGAATTCCTCAGAGGAGAGACAAATATGAGAATCTGTTTTTGATCAATCATAAAACCTTTTTTATTTCTTGGCACATCTCACATCACTGCCAAATCCTTTGAGAAACAAAAAATGACTTAAATATTTCCCCCTGATTATAGTTAATCTGATACTTTCTTATCAATAACAAATACTTCCTTATAAAGAAAAGTTAATCAGCAATGTATGAAAATGAGCAAACAAATGGTGAGTTACACATAGTGCCCCGTTACAATCAGGAATAAAACAAGGAGGCCTGCTATTACTATTCAGAATTTTATTTCACCCTCTAGCCAGTGCAGACAGAAAAATGAAATAAAGTACTAGCAAGAAGGCAGTAGCAGTAAAACTTTCGATATTTGCAAATGGAATGCCTGTCTGCCTAGAGTCTAGTGGATTATAAATGGTCAGATACAGGAACCATTTAGGAAATGGCATTTCTTTAGCTGGATATGGTGGCTCACATCTATGATCCCAGCACTGTGGGAGGCTGAGGCAGGAGGACCTCTTGAGACCAGCCTGGGCA